GTTTTTTATATTTGTTATTATTAGTTGGGCCCCTCGATAAAATTTCTAGATCCGTCACCGCTCACCTCTCAATTTCCTTCATCTCTCTAATTGGCCACTATTTGGCTCAAGGGTCTTTTCCAGGTCTACCACACAGTGACGATAATGGCGGCCGTATCGCTAATTTCCCCCACGCTCTGCTGCTACTCCTCGTTCCAGGGTACAGAGGACTATATTCTATTCCTAATTTATTCATTTTTTCATAAAGTAAAAATATCTGAAGTTCCAGGTACCGCAATTTTTGCTATTCTTGCAGATGTTCGTTTGTCCAGTGCCGCGAAAATTGCTTCATCTTCTCGCAATTTCAGAACATTGTTTGCCACTGGGTCTCCTCTCCGTAAGGATTCTCAACTCTTTCCTCAACTTTGTTTTTTACACCATTACATTTTGTGTGTAAATTTGGTGGTGTTACGAAGTCGTTGACTAGAAAGTGACAAATTACCAACAGTTCAATTTATTTGCAATATTATGAATAATCTTATGCAAGAGATTTGAGCCTCCAGCATTAGACACTGTAATTGTTTTTGAAATAGCATATTTGTTCAATCTGGTTTATGTTTGAGTTCACCCATTGAATGAATCTTGCGAATCGTATGAGAGTACTTACTGAGTGGATTAAACTATTTTGTTCAATTGCATGATTGTTTTTCTCCTTGGACATTTAATTTTGGATACATCTAAAGGTAATTTTAGAAAACAGATTTCATAAACCATTAGTGATTAACACTTGTTTTCAGTGATTGATAGACCCATTTACCAGAAAAGCACTACTCGTTACTCAAAATTAGTTTCCATAAGATGTGAACAGAGCAGCAAGGAAGGGAATGGTTTGGATATATGGCTTGGTCGGCTGGCTATGGTTGGTTTTGCTGCCGCCATTAGTGTTGAAATCGGGACAGGCAAAGGACTCCTGGAGGTATGATGTTTTGCATAATGTTTTCCTAAACGAGTGGCGTTTACTTTGCATTTTGAATGATGGGGGTATGCTTCTGGGTGTGATTATATATTTACTAACCATTAGTGGCTATGTATGTATTAGCATGCCACACATAGGTTTTATATGGCGTGGTTAATGTTGTAATCGAACCAAACGAGCCGAGCTTAGGAGTTCCGAGCTCGTGTTTGTTTATGTTCGAACACTGTTCGTGTTCGTTCGATTATTTTTCGAGTAAAAAGTCGTGTTCGAGTCCGCTCGTTTGGTTGTTCGTCAAAATTCGAGTTTGTTCGTGTTCGAATCAGTTAGGATATATACTTTTGAAATATGTTTGATTAACTCAATATTTGTTCGTTCGAACTCGAAATAATAAAATAAAATAAAAAATATTTTTATATTTTGGATTTTTATTAAAATATCATGTAAATATATAAAAAAATAAATAAATTTATACTAAATTAATATGTGCGAACATTATTGAAAATTTGCGAACGAGCTCGTGTTTGCCTAATTTTCTGTTCGAATTCGACTCGATTAACAAACAAACGAGCTTTTGTCGAACACGAACGAGCTTTTGTTCGCGAACGCAGTAGGCGTGGTTATACTTTCCAGCGGCCAAGAACCGGCTAAGTATTGGCACCACTTGTTGCCAAAGTTGCTGTGTGACTTTAGGCTTTGGTTATAGTCATTTCATTCAAGTTGGCAAATGGCAATGGCTAGAATACATTGTGATAAAGGAAGCACATAGGTTAATCCTTTTAATTACTAACGTATAAGGGAACTTAAGGATGACATTAGTCAAAGTGTGAGAAGAGAGTCAACCTTTGTTGCTGTGTTTCATGGTTCATGTTGGGTAACATAATAATGTCCCTGATATTCTTATTGTACAAAACTTAAGTGGAACGTCTTAGGTGCCCTTTAGTTTGTGATTCGAGGTTTTTTACACAATGTTTATAGAGGTTTTTGAGTGACGAGGAACTTTAATCACTTGAGCTTTCTTACTTTAATGTCTCAGAAGTATAAGCCCGTCTAGCTTAGTAGGTAGAGCAGGCTCTTAATCTTGTGGTCGTGAGTTCGAGCCCCACGGTGGGTGCATAAAATGGTGTGCATTCTCTTTTTATTTTTTATTTTTTTTTATTGAGGTTTTTCTTCACATGGGACTAAGAGCATTTGTATTTTTTGCCTAATTATATATATATTTTTTCTTTTTGGAACAATAATATGACCTTTTTTTTTTTT